AGCAGGAGCCCTGAGGCTCCACAGCTCAGGCACAGGCCAGGTCTCCTCCAGAGGTTATGCTCTTTGCAGTCATGGAGCAACCTCCTCCATCAGGGACACTTCCCATCTCACCCAACAATGCTGAGCTCCCTACAACCACAGAGCTCCCAGCTGTGGGCACAGGTAGCTCACTCTGTCACCTCTGACTGTGTGTCACCAGGGCAGACAGGACCACAGACCCATGATCATGAGATCTGGGTGTGCAGTGAGGTCTTCTCCTCATCTCGGATGTTTCAGTGCTCACAAAACCTCAGTGGACTGAGAGGGCAGAAGCTGCTCCATTTGTCATCATCCCCAACCCAACACTGACAGTCATTCAATCACCACATTCCAAACACCACAAACTAAAAGACATTGGTGCCCTGCCTTTGCAGCTCTAGGGATCCACAGCCAAGATTTTCTCCACAGTCATCTTGATAAACACTGAGCTAATGCAGACCAACCCCAGAGCAGTGCTCATCCCATCTGCCAGGCTGCAATGTCTGCCACTACAGCAAAGCACATTCCATGTGGATGCCAGAGCAAATGGCAAAGGCCAATATTCCTCCTATTCTTCCCTATTAAAAAGCATATACACAAGAGAAATTTCACATCACATGGACACAAGTATTGTTCTTCCCTCCACATGACCCTGGAAAATGGTTACTTGATGTACCACTGAAAGAGTTGTTGGGCACAATCTGAATGGAGTGACCTGGGGACTGAGCAGGCCAGGATTCAATCCCCAAAAACTTTCACCCCTCACTTTTTCACTGCAGCAACATGCTACATATTACATCTGAGCAAGACATTAGAGCATTTTGCTCATGAGCCAAAAACTTAGAGCATCAAGAAAGCTGATATTAAGAACAAAAGGTACCAAATTTGTAGCCACCACTCATCCCTCTTGTCTCCTTCTGTCTTACCTCTAGAAGCTGTACTGCTCCTTCATGTTCCCTTCTTGCCTCTGCCTGTGCCTAGGGAGAAATAAGGGAGTAAAGAAGAAAGTAGGCTGAGTTCACTTCTACTGTCATCACACCTTGTAGCCCACAGATTGGAGCACAAATGTGATGAGGAGCAGCTGAGGGAGCTGGGTGGGCTCAGCCTGGAGAAAAGGAGGCTCAGGAAGGATCTTCTCACTCTCTACAACTACCTGCCAGGAGGTGCAGCCAGGTGGGGTCAGGTCTGCTCCCAGGGAACAAGGGACAGGATGAGAGGAAACAGCCTCAAGCTGTGCCAGGGGAGGTTCAGGTTGGATATCAGGAAGAATTTCTTCATGGAAAGTGTGGTCATGCTCTGGCACAGAGCCCAGGACAGTGGTGGAGTCATCACCCCTGGAGGGACTTAACAGGTGTGGATGTGGCACTTGGGGACATGGTTGGTGGTGGTCTTGAAAGTGCTGGGGGAATGGTTGGACTCAATTACCTTAGAGGGCTTTTCCAACCTTCATGATTCCATGATTTAAACCACTGTACAGCCTGAAACATCTTTGGTCTTTGGACAAACAGCAGTGAGTGGTCAGAATTAACATCCACTTTGCTCAGGTACCAGAGCTCACATGGACACAGACACTTCTTGGTTTACTTTATCCTATAAACTCACAATCCTTCATGCACCACACTTCCAAGGAAACAATGTGCAGGAACCTCATTGTTTTCCAGAGATTCAGAGAGTAAAATATCTACTCCCCACAGAGCACATACCTGCTGCAACCGCCGGACCTCCTCTTGCTTCTCCTGCAGGACTAGCAGTGCTTCCTTGTGCTCCAGTTCCAGCTGCTGCCTCCGCTCAGCCACATTTCTCATGTGCTGCACAACAACACACACAGCTGAAAGGTCCTGCCCTGTGTCTTACCATGAAGCCAACCATGGCCTGTATTTCATACCTTCCTAGTATGTTAAGGGGTTGGAATGGAGCTTAGAGATCATCCAGTCCCAACCCCCTGTCCTGGGCAGGGACACCTCCCACCAGAGCAGGTTGCTCAAGGCTTCATCCAACCTGGCTTTGAACACTGCCAGGGCTGGGGCAGACACATCCTCCCTGGGCAACCTGTGCCAGTGTCTCACCACCCCCACAGGGAAAGCTTCTGCCTAAGATCTCACCTCAAATTCCCTCTCTCAATTTCTCCCCATTGCCCCTTGTCCTGTCCCTGCAGTTCCTAACCCAGAGTCCCTCTGCAGTTTCCCTGGAGCCCGTTCAGCTCCTGGCAGGTTGCTCTGAGGTCTCCACTCAACCTTCTCTTCTCCAGGCCGAACAGCCCCAACTCTCTCAGCCTGTCCTTGTAGGGAAGGTGTTCTCCAGTCCTCTGATCAGGTACAAGAGGTCACCTGGACACAGACACTCTCTACTGTCTCCTCTGGCCTTGCTCCAACAGTTCCATGTCCTCCTTAGGTTGTGGACACCAGAACTGTGTGCAGCACTCCAGGTGGGTCTCACCAGACCAGAGCAGATGACATTTCATGTCATGACTACACAGAGAAGAAAGTAAGAAACTCTCCCTACAAGCCAGAGCAACACAAAGAAAATCTCCTTTATCTCCCCTCCCACCCAAAACCCTGAAGCAGCTTTTCCAAAGCACCTCTGCCCACTCTGAAAGGCCAAGTTCCAGGATCCTGCAGAAGCACAGAATTCCCAGTGAAAGCACAGAGACAAAAGAATAGTCAAAAAAGGGCAAAAAGACAACATGTGCCATCTAAAGGCAGCAGTAGGTGTTTGGTCCTTCTAGCCATGTGGATCCTACTAACCTTCAGCACCTGCTCTAGATTCTCCAGCTTGGTTTGGAGTCCTTGGTTCGTCTGAATCACTGAATCCCTTTCCTTAGTCACCAAAACAACCTGCAATTTCAGGTCAGCATTCTCAGATTCAACCTGAAAGGAAAGACATTCCCTTAGCATGCAGCAGCCAGAGGTGTTCCTTGTAGAAATAACAGAGGACAATTCCTTCCTGTGCCTCAATGGGCTGATGTGCAGCTCTGCTCTCTACTGGCAATGACACCAAACTCCTGACTCTCCCCTACCCCTGCCTTTCACTTCCAACCAACAAACAAGCATCTGTATGAGCCCTGAATGTGATACACTGTATCTGTACACACCCTTCTCCCACCAGAGTCACCTCCCCATCCCATTTACAAAGAGGAAGGGACTGGGATAGGAACAAGCTACATAATGAAGAGATACCAAAACAACACCAAGGTCTGTGAGCATTTTTAACCCCACATGGCAGGATTAAACACAGAGAACAGGTGAGAAAGATCAGTAGTCTGATGAAATCATCATCACCTCCTCCACTTACTACAGGGAATTAATTCCAGGCACATATTTTGGTTCCAGGATGCACTGTGGCTTGATGACTATTAGCAATGCAGATTATCAAGCAAAGACAAATATTGCCACTTATAGCAGTTCTGAAATGTGTGGGAAGTTTTAGGCATGGTGGAAAATTGATGCTCCACCTGCCCCAGACACAGCTCTTACCTGTCCTGCCCATCCAGCCTTCTCATTCAGCTGCAAGTTCTCTTCAGCCAGTCGTGCATTTTCACTCTGTACCTCCTGCAGCTGGAACTCCTGGGCAGAAACACTGGGAATTATCACACCAAGGCCCCCAGAATAACTTCCCCCAATTATTCTGCTGCTTGCTGGTGCAGGATGCTGCTGGGATGCTGTTGCTCCAGCATCAGAGGAAGCATCAGAGTACCCTCTGCCTGGGGTTGGAACTAGATGACCTTTTAGTCCCTCCAAACCCAAACCAGTCTATGATCTCTAAGCAAAGCAAAGCAGAAACAGAACGGAGAAATCTAGATGCTCTGAGATGCGCTGAAAAACTTTCCTGGAATTAAACAGGCAAGATTTCAGCCAACAAATAAGCAGAAGAAAATTACTGTGGGTTTGTGTAATTACCATCTCAAGGTACAGAAATCTCTTGATACTTGTCTGAGTGCCTGTAAAAATGCATCACCTCAAACTAGCAAAGGCCATGGAGTTTCATCCAGTGATTTATGCAGCTGAATTCAGCCCACAGCAGCTGCAAGACTAAATAAACAATCCCAGCCTCAAGGGCTGGAGCCCCAAATTTGTGCCACTGTTCAAAGAAACACAAAGACTGGTGATTCCTTAGTGAGATAAGCTGAAGGGGATCCAAGGGAGGCACAGAACCACCTAACTCCTCTTCTGCCATTGTGCTCACAGCAGTAGGCAACAAGAACTTACTAGTTCTTTGCATCTTTTATGCTTTTTCCTCACTTCATGCTCAAGGTTTTCACATTTTTTGCGCTTTTTCTTGAGTTCAGATTCCTGCAGGAAGCAACAGAAGTAGATCAGCAAATCCACACTCTCACAAAGCATAAGAAATTCAAGCTCAGCTTCACAGATCCAGTGCTGCATTAGCTATTTTTGTCATCTTATGGAAATCTGTTTGTGATAAACATAAATAATGTAGAAACCAAGGGAGATTTTTTTGAAAGGTAGGAAAACCAAAAAGTTTTTCAAGTGGAATAACTATTCTTCTCTTCCCTGAGCCTTTCATCTGCTGGAAACAGCTTCACACTTGCACAGATTGTCCCTGTTTGGATGGAGGACAGGATGCAGGGGACAAAAAGACAGAGCTGGGTAACATTTTCAGCTTGAAACATCAGCTGTGTTCTCTTAGCTCCTACTCTAATCCCAATGACACCTACCCAGAGCACAGACATGCTCTGGTGATGTACCTCTAACCCTCTGGGCTACTCAGACAGACAAGAGCTGCTAAACCTCCTTATGAACTGTCCTAGTTTGCTGGAATAATATACAAGGGGCATATTCCTCATCCACATCTGTCTCAGGACAGTCACATCTGTCCCCCAGTTCAAACCAAACACAGCACAAAACCTACTGGGATGTTTCCCTCTCATTTGAGTGTGACATACTCAGTGTGACATTGTCAGCCAGCAACACCCTCCTGTGTTGTCCCACTCATTCCTCAAGCTTCCTACTCCTCCAGGCAGAGATTTTGGGGATTGCACAGGTGAGAACCCCAGGAGAAAAAAAGAAGCATTAGCTCTCCTTCCCCCCAAAGTAGGCTCACAACTCACCAGCTGCTGTATCTGTTTGCTGCTCTGTTTGCCTGTTATTGCATTTTTGGGGGGGAAATTTTCATGTCCTTCCAAGGCAGGTCCCAGTGGTTGTACACCTGGTTCCACCTGGAAAGCAAGAAATATGCCAGAGAGCTCAGGGGCAAGCAGGACTATAGAGCACACCATGCACACTGAGGGAGAAGAGGCTCTCTTGGCAGAGCAGGCTCTCCTGCCTGGAAGAGCAATGCTCCACATGGAACTCCTGAGCTCTGAGCTGCACCACTGGTCATGGAGAACCTGGACACCATGCCAGGGATCTCTGAGCCACTTAAGACCTGTGCTGGGAGTCTCCTGGAGCCCAGTGCCAACCAGTCCAGCTTGACTGAACCATCCCCATGCAAGAGTGAGCTCCAGCAAGCTCTCAGAGCCCAGTTCCCAGCTGTGCCTCATCTAACGACACAATGAGAGGCAGCAGTTACACCTTTCATGGCCCTTCCCAAAGTGAAGATGGTCAGAGGGAGAACACAGCCCTCAAAGACCAGAAATCAGTGAGGATGTCAGAATCTGAAGGCAGGGAAGAGCAGACAAGCACCACCAAGAAATAGCGTGTCCCAGTTCAGCTGAAAATGACCGAAATGGCAGCAGATGTGCCATGGCCTATGTGCCACCACCAAACCAGAGGAAAGGAGACACTTTTCTGTACACATTGGTACACAAAGGGGAAGGATCTTTCTAGTAAAAATAAGAGGACTAAAAGGGAGCAGGAACTGTGCTCTGCAAGTACAGATGCAGCAGAGACAAACAGTGACAAGGGCCTCGTGACACTGAGAGATTAGAGAGACAAATGCTAGTTTAATAGAACCCAGTGCTTGAATAAAAAGGCAAAGAGATCTGTTGGGAAAGGGAGAGAAAACTTCATTATGCCACTGTATAAATCAATGCCATAGCATCCAGGATACTGCTGTGTGCTGCTCCCCCAGCACAAACCTGACAGAGACAACACACAAAGGAAGGGGACAAAGATGATGAACACTGAATGATGGCAGAGGCTGGGAAGACACAATAAGATAATGGAGAGAGGGTTATAAACCCATGCGTGGCTTGGAATAGATGAATCAGGAATGAATATTCAATGCTGTGGGAGCTGGGGGGCAAGGCTTGGAATAGATGAATCAGGAATGAAAATTCAATGCTGTGGGAGCTGGAGGGAGCTTGGGGGGGGGAAGATGCATATCCCATCCTCACACAGCCCACAGATGTGCAATTCTGCCAGAGGGCACTGAAACCTCGGGAACAAACCGGGGAGACCCACAGGAGCCAAACGCACCAGGAGCCAGGGGATCCTGTGGCTCAGACAGACCTGCGACCCTCCCGGGGGCTGCGGGCTCAGCTGGGACCCACGGTCCGACCTGA